CCAACAACCATCATCACTACCAACACTTTGCCATTGACAAGTTTGACTACAGCTACAGCAAGCTGAATGCAATGTAGTCTATGCACTTTATGCATAAACAACAGTTTGTTTCCCCCCAGTATTATGTAACCTAGATGTCGCCAACTTCGTGAATCCCGCGAATAGAAATGGTATCAGATCAAATGTGCAGTCGTCAGTCATATCGTTCGTGCCTAGATGAAAACGATAAGTACCTAATCAGCAAAACCGAATTGTACTGAACGTCTTTGTCCTTTCCCTTTCGTCCCTGGTCTTCTTCGGTGCATGCTCAGTTTTAGATTCCTTGAACTGCAACGTTGCCAGATTGGCAAAATATTTATTGATAAAACTATTTTAATAGAGATTAGACTAGATATTATCACAATAAGTTTTCTACAGAACTGTGAACGCACATAAACTGTGCCACTATTTTGTATTTGGACTGTTCACAATGTGAATCCGATCAAAAAGTTAATTGATTACTATTAGATATAAGTTCGGCGATCTTGATACTTTTTCTTGATAACAACTGATATTTATTTTCAGTCGTCTTTTTCTTCTTATAAACATGTGTTCTAAAATGCCCCTCCCCCTCCGAGCTACAGACACTGTAAGTAAAAAAGAGTATCTGAAAGTATGATCATAATAACGGATCAAGTGCCAGTATTCCAGTACTGCACCTATCTGAAATAAGTTTCTATTGTGTTCCGCCATGCGACATACGATCACCTCCGTATGCAAGCGTTTAACCAACCAATTGCGTTCAAAAACGATATCGTGACTCTTTTCCTTGATTACGATTTTCTGGTAAACGGTTAGTTGCATGAAAAAAATGCAAGAGACCGAATTATACAGGGTGTCCACTTAGCATGCTCACCATGGGTATCTTTTAAACGGTGAGAGATACGAGGTCGGTTAAATGACACCAAATGTGGAGTTTGTCAAGGCCAACTATAATGTGAAAAAATATTTTGATAAAATCTATTCGTTTTTGTTTTATACGCAAAAAACAGATTTTGATCATTTTCATGTCTCCTCCGTAACTTCTTTATTTATGAAAATATTCAAATAGGAATTTCACATTCTCATGGCAGTTTTTCAAAGTGATTTCGAAAAAAATATATAATTTATACCAACTCTTCTAGAATTTGAGATATCAGCACCAACTTTAGTTTTTCAAATGTAGCTCATAGCTCACTCTATGACTTGGTCACTTTTTTCTCTTACAGATGATATGTCGCAGTAATAGTTTTGTGTTGATAACAACGGAGTTACCGTCATTTACACAAGAACAAAAAGTCATTTGGAAGCCACCATCTCGAATTTATAAATTTTATCAAAAAAATCATGATCTTCGACCTCAAAAACCCCCACTTACCAATTTTGAATGGAATCGGACCAAATCTTGTCCGCCATCTTGGAGCAGCCATTTTTTTTAATTTCAACAAAAATTCCATAATGTATTGTCACCGAAATTATAAACACCTGCCAAATTTCAACGGGACATCCTGTATTTCACATTTTTGTACATTATTCTGATTCGAATTCAGTTTCATACCCTTCACATTAAATGGACTGTTTTTGAGTTATTCCGTTTTTGTTTTTAGAAAAAGTGGCATATGCAGCCAATCAAGCATACGCCATTTTTATGTGAATTGCAATTCCAACTGATATTCAGTGATTGAATCGTGAATATTGAAGATTGAACGGATCACTCACCATATTCACAACCACTGAATAATTTACAGGCTGGGAACCTTTATTAATCACAACCGGAAGTGAAATTGCCATGTCCACAAGGGATAGAAACTTGACTTGGATCCCCATATGAACGAGAATGTCATTGGAATATAACTAGAAGTGAAGATTATACACACTCTTGAAAGACCGAATGTATACATTTCAAATTAACAAAGAATCATTGGGACGCAACAGACCGGCGGCTGTCTATGAAATCCACTGCGTATTGATGAATAGATACGCATAGCGGGTTACCCCTCACTGCTATGTTCAAGAGGTTCCAACTGTATAGTTTCATACTAAAACAACTAAACGGGTTGTTGAAGGTCCAGATTTCTCCAGGTGGAAGAAGTTATCACAATAATCACGAAAATAATTTGCTTTCATAATTCGTCTTCCTTCTTTACTGGCCTTCGTCTCTCGACACAACCATCATCAATTTTTTTGTTGGTTCCATTTTCCTCAGGGAGAGCTTGCCTTATTGTGGCATGTCTGGCTTTTCACCATACTCTTTCATAATTTAGGATCAATTTGGATATTCATAGAATGGCCGACCTCCGTCGTACGCCCCCCTACCGACACATGTCAGATAACATATGGCAGATGAATGACACATGTTACATTTCTATATTGTTACCAACTTCCTAATACGAATTCCACTACCTACCATATTCTTGCAGCCTCCACTGCATTTGTACGATCTCATGCAGGACTATGACACACTATTTTCTGCTGGGGTTACCAGGTGCCCTGTAAAATTGTTTTCTTTTTTTTTGGTTTGAAGAAAACTATAGGATACCTGTTCCTCAATATCATGTTTTGAATAATTAATAATTTTCCTCAACCCATGCACTTCAGTGATATGGTGTTGATTTGTTTTTTCATTCCCACAATTTGATGATGGACCTATATAAATCCAAAACATGTACTTCCAATTGATGATTTCTCCAATTTTTCTAGTTGTTTTTTCTTTCTGAGGAATCTAATTGAAATTTATTTCAAGTTATTTACTTATCATTGGTGAACAAATGTGTCTTCACTCTCTTAAGAGCATGAAATATCAAATGATGTTGGTGCCCTCTAGCATTAAACATTAACTTCTGAATGAATCGTTTGAGCACCATTTCGTTATCAATGGCAATAGAGCACTAGGGATAGGTAATAGCAAAAAAAAATTAAAATTAAGCAACATATATTCTTTGTTCAAATAAGGCATTCTTTGGTTGAATAATAGTATATATCTTTTATAAAAACCATTGGATTTTTTCAACTTGAGGCAAAAAGTACATATATAACAAATATTAAATGGTATATATTATATTTACCAAGGAATTTCATTATGCAACTACTCATACAATAAATTAATACAAGACCCCTCTAACATTAACAACGAGTATTACATAAATGGTTAATCAACATAAAATGTATGATTATTGGGCTGTCCATTGACTACATGCAATTCTGGGGAAAGGGAATCAGATAATTAACGGACGGTAAATTTGACGTATGCAGAAACATTTTGTGGAAATAGCTATTTATATATCAAGGGAGCAAAGATATCCATTTTTTCCGGCGTTTTGAAGTTTGATGCCCGACGCGTAGCGAAGGGCATTAAACACACATGGGAGAAAATGAACCTTTGCTCCAAAGATATATATTTGATTTTATCCACGAATTAATATATTTGAGAGCTTCGTTCTTAAAATTGTGCTTCAACAGTCTATCACTCGAGTCTCGATCCAAATCAATGTGTTACATGATCTTAGGTTACAGACAGTAGAATCTGAACGAAAATCAGTTTGACACTTTTGTCACATTGAATTTGTTTATTGTGTTTAAAGTTTCGATTGAGTAAGTTTGGAATATGAGGAAGTGTATGAGATGATTGGAGTTCAAAAATTAAATTGTTATTTGTTTTATAGTAGCTAGTGATGGAGACCCTGATGGTAATTTTTTTCCTCCCGTGGGAGTAAATTATGACAGTTTTGTGTCCTCAAATGAGGGAGCAAACGCTTACTTTCGATGCAGTAAGTATAGAGAGTATAGAGAGTTGTTTATACTATATGTAATTTCTTTATCTATCTTGGAAACAGCCTCTCTGATTCATAAGAATATACGGTCCATACCACTTGTCTCCTCTCGATATACAGTGTGTCCCACTTACCATGCTCACCATGGGTATCTTTTTAACGGTGAGAGATACGAGGTCGGTTAAATGACACCAAATGTGGAGTTTGTCAAGGCCAACTATAATGTGAAAAAATATTTTGATAAAATCTATTCGTTTTTGTTTTATACGCAAAAAACAGATTTTCATCATTTTCATGTCTCCTCCGTAACTTCTTTATTTATGAAAATATTCAAAGAAAAATTTCACATTCTCATGGCAGTTTTTCAAAATGATTTCGAAAAAATATGAAATTTATAGAAAAACTCTTCTAGAATTTGAGATATCAGCACCAACTTTAGTTTTTCAAATGTAGGTCATAGCTCACTATGACTTAGTTACAAATAACTTTTTTTTCTCTTACAGATGATATGTCGCAGTAATAGTTTTGTGTTGATAACAACGGAGTTATCGTCATTTATACAAAAACAAAAAATGATTGGGATGCCGCCATCTTGAATTCATAAATTTTAACAAAAAATTCATGATCTCCGACCTCAAAAACCCCCACTTACCAATTTTGAATGTAATCGGACCAAATCTTGTCCGCCATCTTGGAGCAGCCATTTTTTTAAATTTCAACAAAAACTCCATAATGAATTGTCACCGAAATCATGAACACCTGCCAAATTTCAAGTTAATGACGATAACTCCGTTGTTATCAACACAAAACTATTACTGCGACATATCATCTGTAAGAGAAAAAAAAGTTATTTGTAACTAAGTCATAGTGAGCTATGACCTACATTTGAAAAACTAAAGTTGGTGCTGATATCTCAAATTCTAGAAGAGTTGGTATAAATTTCATATTTTTTTCGAAATCATTTTAAAACTGCCATGAGAATGTGAAATTCCTATTTGAATATTTTCATGAATAAAGAAGTTACGGAGGAGACATGAAAATGATCAAAATCTGTTTTTTGCGTATAAAACAAAAACGAATAGATTTTATCAAAATATTTTTTCACATTATAGTTGGCCTTGACAAACTCCACATTTGGTGTCATTTAACCGACCTCGTATCTCTCACCGGTAAAAAGATACCCATGGTGAGCATGGTAAGTGGGACATACTGTATAATACAAGACCGAGCGGCCAAATAAAATGAATAAACCCCGCACCACTGATTGAGTATTCTATTATTTACTCTGGAATAAAAATATAATATAATCATCTGTCGAATGAAATCAAAGGAATTGCATGTTACAAAAAATTCCGAACAAACAAATTATTATAACTACAAACAGCAGTGTACAACGAAGTGTACAACTTGACTGAGTATTTTCTACAACGGTTTCATTAGAGTATTTTAGTGTTGTGTATTTTACAACTCATTTTGTCTGTTGGATCAATTTAATTTTATTTATTTACATTTCGAGTGTTGTCAATAAGTGAGTAATTTTAAAACTAGTGTTGTTCATTCATCTTTTATGTATATTATATTGAACAAGCTTTGTCAACAATAAAGTATATTTTTAACTATATTTGAATGCGTTCTCTCTCTTCATTTTGAGATGAGTGGAAACCATCAGAATGTAATAAATGTTTAAAAATATTTTCGATTGGAATAATAGATTTTCTAGTACCAGAACAAGTAAGCTGTTAAATTTCATTTTAAACATACTTCTTACAGGTACGAGTAGAAATTGAAATTAAGGAAGACCACCCTTCTTATTCATAGCTCTTCACAAACACTATTATTACAATTCTTCACATTCAATGAAAATAGGTTGATAAGGCAGCAATAATTCTTATCGACCAGCCTTACATCACTGGAAAAATGAGTCACAATTTGTTTCTGTCGAAATGAGCAGTCATTTACATTTCTGTCAAAATATAAAACCAAATATTTCGTTCAGCAAGATGTTCAGAGTGCAATGTGATTATCGAGCACTCTAGGACTTAGCACTGAGTACCTACAAGTGGCACATACTCGGTTTCTTCATAAAATTTGGTTTCAGCACAGAGCAGTGGAAATTGAAGTATTTTTATCTCTTGGAGCGCACAGAAGGAAATTCCTATTATGTTTGAAGAATATGGTGCGTACCTAGGGAGGATAGGGAGAAACGGTATGCTTTCAGAGGTTATAAGTTCTAAGTTGATCACTTTAGGAAAGGTATCAACTAAAAGGTCATTTTTTTCACAGGTGTTGTCTATGCAAAATATTTTTTTCTGTACCAAATCAATTTGAAATTTCTTTGATAACAGTTTTATTGCATGCAAGAATCTTTCAGGTAGGTTCACTTGTATCCGAAGAGATAAGATATACATAATCCACCCGATGATTCGAGGTTATTAGCACGGTTCTGAAAATTCGAACTATGAGCGAGTATCGAAGAAGTTTGCAAGCCAGTGGAAATCATTTTTCGACATCGTTTCGTTCTTGAAATTTTTAGTGGGCCACAGAAACGCATTCAGTTGAGAAAAATGACGCGTGGAAAATGCTATATATGTGATTCACCAGTCTCGGATTTTCTATATCTCGCTGGTAGTTGCAGAATATTCCAGTCTTTGACTGGTAAATAATACTTACATCCCAAAGTTGGGATTTGAACTATCGAAATTCTGCTACAAGAAGTGAATTCTCAATTGCAGAATAAAACTCAGTCATTGAAGAAAAAGGAAGAAAGATTCGGCATCGGGTCCAGATAACAGCATCTATTCACAAATAACTCACTTGTCCGCAAAATCGTTCCACGCAATACAAATAATATACAACAGCATATTGCAGGAAAAATCAAAGCTACTAACCTGCTGAATGGAAGTCACAGATGATTTGCCCAATACCAAAACAAGGAAAAAATCTGAAGGATAATCATAGCATAGTAGAGACCTTGATAAACAGAATGGAATACCATCTGGAAAAAAGAAATTGGATTCACCCCCTCCAATTTGATTTCAGGAAAGGAAGAGTCACCAATGAGAATCTCTTCTTAGACTTATCGGCACTACAAAGTAGTAATCCCTCGCTTACTGGAAAAACTAGCAACATCAGAGATATATTATGAACATAATTCAAAAATTATTCCAAAATTTTTGGGATTTTCTCTCCTCGTTTCTATGAAATAAGAAAATGAATATTATTTAAATATATGTGTAGTAAGGACAAATCAGATGATTTGCCTCAAAATGTCACTGCGTTTATAGTAATTTTCCTAACAAGTGCGGAAAGTGATTCCTTTCCGCACGCGACTGCCGTTGACACAAACGACGCGAATCTAATTGTTTTTATCCCAGGAGTACACAGCAGAGCCATGTCCCAACCTTTTACAGACTTTACAGGCTTGTTTTAGAATACTGTTCCCACATATGGGGTGGACACTCAAACTTGCGCTGATTCTCTTAGATTGCATTCAGAGACGAGCCATCTACCTGGTTGTATAATTCCTTGATATCACTGGAATACCGTAGGAAAGTCGGCGACCTTTCACTTTTCTCTAGCTCCTGTCATGAGAAATGTTCTTCAGTAATCTCAGCTATCATTCCATCACTAGCGATGCCGGTCAACCTACTCGACAAGCTCAGTCAGCACATTATTTTGTTGCTAATCTCGAGATATGTCGAACAACTCTTTGTCAAAACTCGTTTGTCTATAGAACGGAAAAGAAATGGAATTGTTTGCAGAAGAACTTATTCCCAAGAACTTATAACCCTCAAAAGTTGAAAAATTAATGAATTTAGTTGGGATTCCTATTCGTGCACTCCAAGAGATAAAAATGAGACAAGGGATATGAAACCTTTGCAACGGCGAACACGTGGTCCTGTATCTATTTCTGATTTGTAATGAGGACCAGACCAGTGCCAAATTTGAGGAGGACCACTTTTGTATTTCCTTAGAAAAGAATTCAGAAACTTCTTTAAAACTCTCACGCCCTGTGTTAAAGTTATGGTGCATTTTTAGAGGTATGTTTATCAAAGAAGTCCATTTATTTTGCGATTTTCTGTTATCTTAAGAAATTGATGCATACAAATCTGGACCAGCCAATATATTGATTTCTACTTTATTGAGATCAATAATAGCCAGTATTGGAAATCTCTTATCGTTTACAGAACTTTCATAAGCAGATATTCTCTAACAAGGCTGCAGCCGCACCACACAGGCGCATTTTAGATCGTTCTGATTGGTCTTTAGGGAAGAGGTTGAAATTGCTTTATGTAATTTATGGACAGCCTCAGCGGTTCCAATCATTAACCACCTTAAGTTGAAAATCACCTTATAATTATCTAAAGTAGTCGAAAAAAGACAAGCAATTGCATACCTACTGCATTGCATAATATATCAATTTCTTATCTCAATTTTTTTCCATATTTGGAAAATTAATTTATCCTCAACTATTTTTGATCAATTAATAATACATATCTAACAAAATAATACCTACAATTTTTTGGCCTTCACACAGACGATAAAACCCATATTAGAAGTGGAATCCAATTTTTCAGTACTTAGTCACATTAAAATGGCACTTATGGTAACATCACATAACTATTATCTATAAGATAATAATATTATCTCGAAACGGCTGAAGTACAAATATTTCACATCCACATAAAAAAATACAAATCATAAATATACATAGGGATAATTAGCGTAATATGAAGAGTGTAATAAAATAAAACAAATATAACTAGATATCGATTTCAACATATTTTTGGTATCGTTTCGGTTTGTTCACACCCACGCAAATACCAATTTTTGATCACAAACATTTATTTGTCTATATACAGATGTACTCTGGCGGGCATTTTTCGAGTGCTATTACTGATAAGGAATCTGCTAACCTTTCTCGAATTTCAGATTTACTGAAGATGGCAACTTCGTTACCAAAGTACATATTTAGGTAGGTATACTATTTGAATTTCTCTATTCACCAGTCTCTAATTTTTCAGTTCATTTCCTAATTGCAATAATTGTATCAACTGAAATACAATGTATATATGTGATATTTCCTAATAAAGAATTAAAAGTGTTTTTCTGCAAGCAATTATCACCATAATTCAATGAATTTCTAAGAATATTTGCGTTGAATACTGTATACCTAGTTGATTTGTTATACTTCCTCACACAAATATGTACACAACCCAGAAATACTTCGGAAAACGTCTGAAAAAAATAATATCAACGAAACAAACGTACCATTAATTAAGGTTCTTGTTTTTTGGAGGTTTGGGGGGCGGCGTTGGTGGAACAGTCCCATAATCGAAATCGTTATCGAGATTGTCCATATTCAATTTGATTTCAATTGTGTTCCTCATGACGGAAGCACGTTGAGAATAAAGGAAGCTCCTATTTTCATTGGAAAAAGCTAAACTGCCACAGTCTGTGTCACGTTGTTTCACTGGAAGAGGTGGTGGAAGACCAGAATCTTCTTCACTGACGCTTGAGTCGGTGGTACCTGAAATCAAGCGTTTGTACAGTTAGAATAATGTAGTGGAACATTTCTTGCAATCATCCTAGGTAGTGCACACTATTGGTTCAAATGACGTCATATTTCATATTGACGTTCAACACTGGAGGTCATAATGACATCAATATAAAGTCAACTATTTGTCATTGACCAGATGTTCCGTCTTGATAGTAATAATTAGTCAATTTATTTCAAAATTGGGAATCGGGATATTATTTTTTTTATTTATATTTGTATATCGCTACTTCAAAGTTGGGAACCAACTCCGCAGAAGTCGAAACTTGTGCGGTGTTATAATTATCATTGTTACGTTATTTTGGCTCAATCTATATAAACATAATTTATTGTTAACGTTGATTAATGTCATTTGTACCTGTTCCTCAAAGGCAGAAACTGATGTTGTTTTTCTTTGAGAGACGATTCATTATTCAAACTTCGTTCGATTCGATACTAAAAAGATCGGTCCGCAATGTTTTACCATTATTCGCTGGTTCCGGTAAATTGTGCATGTTTCGGCAAATAAATTAACAATATTGCACCCCTCGTACATTATTCAGAGGGGTGGATCTGGTAGGCCTACTCCTCTTATCAAGGCAGTTTACAGTACACATACCAATGTACGGCTATGTTTACTGTTTCACTGCACACGAATTTGGGTGTTTATATCTACAATAGATAAAAATTATTTCGAAAAAAGGATACAGTACTTCGATGCCCTGGGAGTGGTTCGAATTCCACTATAAGTTGTAGGTCCCACTTTTCCTAACCCCGCACAACTTTCGACTTCTGGGCAGTTGGTTCCCAACTTTGAAGTAGCGATATACAATTTTGACAAATTTTACAAATTTTGTTATAACACCCAGTAGACATGATTTTTTATGTTTGTCAGTAGTAGTAGTAGTAGTTCACATTTACAATTTCAAAAACCTGGACTGCTTCATTTATTAATTCGCGAGAAATTACCAAACTGGATATAATAATTATTCTTGAATCATTGTGGAGGTATGTCATAGTCTCATTTGAGTAATTTGTCCATGACTGCAAATAACGTCCCTATGAAGTCGTAAATCCTTCCGTTCGTCCAAATGAAATACCCAGCCGCTTTCGTCAGTTTTCTACGTGTAATTCTACCAAATTTGAATTTGAATATATCACACTACATTGTTTTAATACTAACCAAACCGATTCTTCAACGCCTGGATACATGTTTCGCTAACTATGTTAGCATCTTCAGGAAAAAATGAAAACTAGTTTCCTTTCTGAAACCAAATCAAATCAAATGGTTTGCCGAGCACCATATGTACTCTTTTGCAAGCAGTGAATTGCATTTTTGTTCATTTCGACCGTTGGAATCGTTTGAGATCAGGAAGGCAAAGTCATCAGCGGAGAGTGATCATCTGCCCTGGCAGATAATCAATCAGATCAGCAAAATATATATGGAAAAAAAGTATAGGTGCTAGAACACTGCCTTGGAGAACCCCAATTATGAGTTTTGTGGTATTTGACTGTTTAGTAACTACAGTGTCGTCTTAATTGGTTTTAATTTCAACACATTGACATCAATCAGAGATGTGAGATTTGAACCAGTTTGCGGCAGTATAACGAATTCAATAGGTCAACTCATTTGGAGTTTTATCATAAAATTCAACAGTATCAGTGGTCGTAGATAACCCTTTTGGAACACCGTGTTGTTTTTGGAACAAGTTTGTATTTTTCTGTGAAACTGGTAATTCTATCTAACATGCAGTATGCAAATAGTTTTGTAAAAGGAGATGAACTCGAAACGGGTTAATAGTATTCCAATTTTTGTCTTGTCCTTTTTTCAAAGATTGTTGTTACTCTAGCAAATTTCAAATGGTCAGGAAAACTCTAGACTGAAAGGAGTGGTAGACCAAATAAGTTAGAGATATTACCAGTTCTTTCGAAAATTCGCGGACAATGCTAGATAGTTTCTCATCAGTATCTGTGGAACATAATATCTACTTCATTTCATATTGTATTTTCTTCTTTTTTTTTTGTATCTTGCTGGAGTTAGCTGGATTCTCCTCATGATAGTCAGTGTATGTTTCTAGTCGAATGTCTTGTCATTGACATCTGTCAACGTCAAGATCAAGATCGAAGCAAGTGCTTTTTAATCGCGGTGTCCCAAATGTTCGGAGGCTTTTCATACTTTTTTTCCTCCGTAAGGTTGCGAATCTGGGGCCTTATATGGTTTTCCCCATTTAAATAATTATCCCGATCCTTAAATAATGTTATGAATGTATTTTTGGTGTCATCCAAGATAATAATTCTTTCATCTTCATGTCAGCTATCTTATGGCAATAATCTCACATATATACTCAATTGTTTCTATTTTAGGAATAATTTTTTAACGCCTGATGATAGACATACGTATGTCCGAGGCCCTGATGTGAATTTTCACAGTAAACTGTCAGGGAGATGGTTTTATGTATTATTCAGTATTCACTACTGTACTCCACTTTGAGAAATGATGAACTTTTACCAGAAATTAGTCTTTTTGCTCTAACACACCTATGGATTGATGAATCCCGGTCATTAAAGTCTTTGAGTACATGAATTCACACTAAAAATTCAAATCGAATGAACTTGCAATATCCGCTTCACAATGCAATTCGCATGGTGACGTAATTTGTTTGAGAAATGGAGCACAAACTTTCAAAGGGTTTATCGAAATGGAGCACAAACTTTCAAAGGGTTTATCGATAATGTTATCCGTGGATTGAATTTTTGCTATGCTTATTTAGACGATGTTCTCATTGCAAGTGAACATTTGAAAGAACATTTTCAACGTTTTGAAAAATACTGAATTGTTTTGAATGTTAAAGTATTGATTTTTCCTAGGTCATAATAACAATTCCACCGGTATACAACCTTTATCAGGAAAATTTGATTCTATTAGAAATTTTCCTAAGCCCAAGTCGGTTGGTGAGCTTAGAGAATTCATTGTTACTTTTTATCACCGATTTATACTCAACTCTGCAAAAGATCAAATTCATCTTTTGAGAATGTTAAATTGTTACTCACAGACAAGATTTTATTATATTATCCACAGCATGATGCAATGACGAGCATAGCAGTAGATGCTTCAGATAGTGCTGCTGGTGCAGTAGCAATAAGTAAATGAATAACACACCACGTGTTATTTATTTATTCATTGCCAATTCCATTTTTCTTCAAAAAGTTGTCTCAAAATGAGACGAAAAACAGTACTTTTGGCAAACAGTTGACGGCTATAACCTTCGCAATAAATCAATTTTGTGATTTTGTGGAGGGTCGAGAATTTTTTGTTTTCACAGATCATAAACCTCTTACGTTCATGTTTTCTAGACATACTGAAAACCATAATCCCAGAGAAATCCGACAAATGGAAAATATATCTGAATTTACTACTGACATTCGTTACATTGAAAATTACTATACCTGGCAGCACTAATAATTCCTCTCTGTATTGCGATGTTTCATTAAATAATTTCAAACCATTTATACTTGAGACTTTGGTCTGGTTAAGTGTTAACAAAGATATCAGAAATTGCATTCATTGTCAAAAATCTATAATAAACCGTCATACATCGACACCCTTTCAGAGAATCTCGGCTGCAGACACGCATTTTGATCACATTCACATTGATCTGGTTGGTCCCCATACCGACTTTTAGAGGATACAAATATTTATTGACCTGTATCGATAGACATTCTCGATGGCATGAAGCATTTCCTGTGTCAGACATTTCTTCTGAAACTGTCGCATCAACCTTAATTTCAGGTTTGATATCAAAGTTTATTATCTGTATTTCAGAGTTTTACAGATTTTCTAGGGTTTAAAAAACTCGTTCTTGTGCATATCATTCCATCAGCAACGGCATTATTAAAAGATTTCATCGAACTCTCAAATCTTCTTTAAGATGTAATGCTGACGCTTCTCAAAAATGGTTTGATTATTTACCTGTAGTAATACTAGGACTACGTTCGGTTATCAAGGATGATTTAGGGTGTTCGTCTGCAGAAATGGATTACGGCACAACACTTCTTTTACCTAACGAATTGTTCCGAATCATCCGAAAAACCTGAGCTAGATACTTCATCGTTCATTTCTAGATTGAGAGTATTCATTAACAATTTCAAGCCAGCTCGTAATAGACTTATCGAACAAAAAAATATTTTTGAAGATTTGTTAAATTCAACACAGTCATGTATTCATGAGAACGGCTTCATTGTTCAGTACTTTTCAATCGAGGTAAAATGCTCCTTTGAAGGTCATTCAACGTTATAAAAAATAGTGTCACTTTAGATATTAATGGTAACACTAAAACAGTAACTATCGATCGTTTTGAATCAGCGTTTCTTGAAAATTTATGCACAGAATTCAGACTAATTGTACGAGTTTGAGCAGTGGACTGTATTATTTCTGTTGATTCATTAAATGAAAATTGATGGTCGGCAATGCAACGAGGGACTTACCGGTTGGTTTCAGTTTTTCAGCAGGTGTTCCTTTAGCGCTCACTTCATTCTTCCTCCTAGCTAGGATTGAGGATTGCACACACGTATATGGCACATATACGACGACGAGAATGCGTTTTGTGAAGAAAAAATTAGATAGGTACCGAGACGGTAATCTTTACCGGGTTTACTTGCGTCGCGAAAAACTTCTTCCTGAAGTGTCGTTTAGTACTGCTTAAAAATATATCGACTTCGCGCTCCACCTGCGCATTTTTGTGGTACTATCCAGTACTATCTGTGAACCTAAGGTGGTTCCGAGCAGCGGCGTATCACCTCTTGCATTGCATAGATATCGCGGGGTAAAATATATTGACAGTTAATGAGTATGTGATGAAATTGGTTTATATTCCAAAAGTACATGGTTCCTCAAAACTAATCATGCAGGTACACCAGTAATGAATATTAAAAAACCCAAAATAATTTCATTCAATTCAGAAGTTATTAGTTGCGTTTTATTTATCCGATTCCGCCACCAGAATTACATTAATGTGTCGTTTTATTTGCAACTTCACCGATTCCGGTTACTTCTTTTCATTCCGTCTCACTACAAGGAATGACGTGGAATGACTGTTGACAGTTGTCAAAAAATTAAATTAGATTGACGAAAAACGAAACTTTTTGAAAGTAGAAGACATTAAGAAGACATTTTTATCGTGAGGTTCACAAGTTTATGATTCTTTCAGGTAAGACATGTTTCATATCTGCATTACTAGATAAAATGTACTATCTCGATCTCAGAGAACTATCTTCAAGCACCACGATCACTGCTCCAAATATGCATCGATTCATTTTCTTGATTTTTAAATCTAGTATTATGGTATTGAAATAATTCGGAGCCCGAATATATTGAAATATAACCTCTATTATCTTTAATATGTCAATTCTCTCATGCGAGGGCATGAAGTTTCCCGTTTTATTTGTAACCGTCATTCTGTTCCCACCACCAATACCAGAATGGAACGAATAAAACGACACTATTGTCAGTTTTCAATAACAGTAAATATACAGGGTGTTGCGAAATTCGACCGACAACGCTTGACAGGTGATAGCCCTCGTGATTTCATAATCACTAAGATGGGGACATACGATCTCCAAGTGTTCAGTTCTCGAGATGCAGGGCGTTGAAGTTGAGAAAATAAAATAGTATTTTCGCAATATCTCAAGAGAAATTGAATATAATGCATTCAAATTCGGAATATGGTTTCATCTCTCAATGGTTAATTTTTTGACCAGAAAGACATTCCGAGAAGTTTATCCATAGGTGCGCTACAGGGGGTTGTGATAACTTTTCCTCCCATATTTTCAACGCCACTGACGAAATTTCGATTATTTCCAATTTCTTGATTTGATTGTTCAATTATATTGGAAAAATGCATCACCTTCAACTGAGCTAAAATGAACAGTTATCGAGATATTTGACCCAAAATAGAAGATTGCATAGTAATATTTCATCATTTTCAGCAGTAGAAAATTGCAAACATATTTCTCTGGTGTTGAGTAGATTAAATACTATTCAGATCCCATTTTGTAGCTTAACAGAAATAGTTATTCCACGCATAAAGAAAAAACAAATATTTTTGTAATTTTCTACTACTGAGGAAGATGAAAAATTACTATGCAAACTTCTATTTTGGGTACAATATCTCGATAACTGTTCATTTTAGCTCAGTTTGAGGTGATGCATTTTTCCAACATAATTGAACAATCAATTCGAGAAATTGGAAATAATCGAAATTTCGTCAGTGGCGTAGAAAATATGGCTGGAAAAGTTTACACAACCCCCTGTTGCGCACCTATGGATAAACTTCTGGGAATGTCTTTCTGGTCAAAAAATGAACCATTGAAAGATGAAACCATATACCGAATTTGAATACATTTCTCTTGAGATATTGCGAAAATACTATTTCAATTTCTCAACCGGTTCACTTGATTCCAAATGAATAGAATCGTGAATGCATTTTAATTACGAGTAGGTATTGTGATGAATGTTTATAGTCTATTTCGTCTTCTATCTTACCTATGGAATCTCTATTGCTACTAGCATCAGAACTTCCTGCCCCTCTCAACGTGACAGACATACTATTAGGCCTTGAATATTGACCACTAGTTGGACGGCTCAGTCGTTTTTCCTTCTCAACTTCCGATCGAAGAGGCCTTTTTGACTGTAGCTGAAATGAAATTAGTCAAATTTGAAAAGTACCTATAACACAGAAATACATTATACTGTCTGTAGGTAAATTGAGGAAGTGGAATATTCATTTTATTTGATTTTTGGGATTTTCTTTCCTTTCTATAAATCAAAATATTTGTATCATTTCAATATACCTGTAATAAGGACAAATCTGATGATTTGCGCCAAAATGTTACTGAAGTTGTTTCACAATCAGAAATGTAAGAGAAAAATTTAATTGATAGTCAGTGTCACCTTGTTCGAAAACTCTGTTTGAAGAAGAATAATAGTATCTTTTCGACGCTTCGGATATCTGCTCGCGTATTCAACATGAAAAACAAACATAATTTTTGAGATGGATCTTTTGTCTTTTGATACTTCTCGATCTTGAATTTACCTTTCCATACTTTTCAGTAGTGAATTACACTCACTTTAAACGCCCCCCTCTATATCTCAGTTATTAGTCTTGCGATTCGTACCAAATTTTGACCGTGTGTTTTTATTGAAATAAAAAGGTAACAAGTTTTTATGAAATCATATTAGGATTTTTTTCACAGGAAAAATAATTTCATATTATTGTACCCCATGCTTTCGAACCTCCAAATGTTAAAATGCATCTAATTCCGAACCAATAGAATTATTTTGTTTATTTTCTGCCTTGCAAAAATAGTGAATACAAGTAAACTGCAAATATTGGAACGTTCGAAAGCTCCGGTAGGTAGAAAACTATGAATTGAAAGAAAAAAAAAACAAGATATACTTTCCATTGTTGAACTCACCGTTTCCGAGTGAATAATCATTCACGTTCAAGTAAGAAATTACAATAATTAAATATTATAATGAATAAATAATAAAATCACAAACTTTCGACAATGTTGAAAGTTAGGTAATGAATGAGGGAATAGAAAACCACATTGAGATATGTTCAGTGGCGTACTCAGAAGAATTTCTATCAATTTTTCGATCAAAAGTACTCCAAATGTGTAACATCCTGTGTCTTAATCATAATAGTATAGAATATTTTTTGAAGTGTGAACTTAGCTTCAATTTTACTATTGATAAGTATGTGTAAAGTACGGTTATGTACATGGAAACAACGCTACTTATTTAATTTACTAAACGGGGTTATCTGAAAACCGGGTTTGGTTGTGCGACAGTAAATTAGTTTCAAGTGTAGTCGTTCAGTAAGAGTGTAGTAGTGTTGGAAGCATGGAGACGGCGATGGAAAAATCTTCTTTAAATGTTAGGCTCTATCATGGTACAGGTTTTTCTACCTGTGAATATCGGGTGAAGCCACCCAGATACAACTGCAGAAGGAACTGCGAAGTTCACAATTTACAGGCAAGGAGACACTCAATGAATATCTAATCGATTTCGAAGACAGTTACAGTTCTGAAAAGAGCTGGAGGCAAGCTTGAAGATAGTGAAGTCATTACACAACTTCTGTGTGGAATGCCTGAACAATACCAGCCATTTGTTACTGCAACTGATGTCCTCTTCAGTCGAAATTCGGCTAGAATCACATTATATTTTGTGAAGAACAAGCTACTTGGAAGAACAACGTCGAAACAAAAACAAAGATAATGGTGAGGATTGATTGAATAACATCACCTTTCAGGGACACACTGTATGTGCCTGTCTTTAAGAAACGTTCATAGAAATTATATTTAAATTCACAAATGGGGGTTTGAAACCATGAAGAACAAAATTCGTAGGTCAGTTGTCCTGTAAAAAAGTACCTTATATGATTTTATAAAAGAATACTCATTTTCATTTCAATAAAAACGAACGTCACTGTTCAAGATGATGTTCATTTATGAAAAACTGATCATATTGATGGTTATTCACACCGGACCGAATTTGGTGAGAATCGCACGACTAATAGCTGAGATATAGAGGGGGGACGTTTGAAGTGAGACACCCGAGCTTTTTTTATAATTTTAATATAACTTCCACTCCGCTATATGTTGTGCATTTTTAGTGAGGATGTGTTCAGCTAAGAGGTATGTCAGTAAGGACGAAAGAACATGCGTACAATATAAACTACATATCGACAAATCGAAATTAGCCGAACATATCCTTACTGAAAATGGACAACATATTGCAAAGAAAGAGAAAATATCAACCAGAAAAGACAAAAAACAATTTCTGTTCAGTTGATATAGATAAAACATGGTCACTACTAAGTAACACTGAGTAACACTTTGTAGCTCACACATTTTTCTGACAACTTATATCTTTGACAAGTTTCAAAAGACAAGAACGATGAGATCAATATAAGAATTATTTTCCACATAAGTGAAATTTTATATTTTTTCGGTACTTATACTTTAAAACATTTTCAGACAAGGTTGTCACTGACTATCGATATAATTTTTCAAGTTTTCTCATAGTCCCTCAAGTCCAGTGACATTTAAAGGAGAATTATCTGATTTGTCCTTACCACAGGTATAGTAGGTATAGTATAGAAATATGTTCATTTCTAGAGACGAGAGAAAATCTTGAAAAACTAGAATAATCTAGTTAATTTGAAGAAGAACCGGCACCTGCAATGAAAGTCAAGAAATGGAAATGAGAATGAAACATTGTTCACATAGTAATTTGATGGTGAATGCACAAAAATGATTTTTCACTAAACTTAACTGTAACCCCTGATTCATAGATTCAATAGCGCAACCAAACGCAAGTATTTTCAAGACAATCTGAGGAGAAATATACTTTTTCCCTTTGAATCTATAGAAAAACATTCTATTGAAACGCATGGAGCTGTCCTATATTTCGAATTTCGTCGTGTAACGTCTTCCAAGTACCTTCGTTACGTCGCGTTATTAAATCTATAAATCAGTGATGAGAAAAAATGCACTTTATGCACTGCTTCCTGTTAAAAATGGTATTTCAATATTCGAGAACGGCTCACATGGTATAAATGAAAATTACACTTTTTTACAGTTGTATATGATTCAATTCATAACAAAATTGAAGTTAAGAAATGCGGCACATATGGTATCAATGAAGATCACACTTTTCTACAGTTGTATACGATTCGATTCATAACAAAATTGAGGTTTAGTAATAATCATACCTCTTGTGTCAATTCGAATACAGTCGACGGTCCATTTGATATAATAGTTGTATTAATTTCACTGTCCGATGTGTACCACTGGGTAGCGCATTTATCAACAGGAGGACTAACAATTTCCGTCTTACTAGACCTTCGCTTTTCCTTGGACATTTTGAGATATTTCTTTTGGCTAAAGGATGGAGTTCCAGTCAGACTCTTTGAGGGGGAATGAGTCATGCTCTTGGAGTGATTGTGATGGGAAGATTTGCTGAAAAACAAACAAATGAATTATGGTATTTACTGAATAGTATATGCACCGACATACACGAAGTGTTTTTAAAATGAGTACACTTTATATTTATCACATCGATATGATACAGCCTAAGAAATATTCCCATTATGTCAGATTTTTTACCTTTAATACCTCTACTCAATGAGAATTTCCATCCCGAGAATTGAAGAAGAAACGAGAAAAAAATACTCATACTCACGTCATTTTGAAACAATTTAAATGATTGAACTAAGCGTGATTGTGCCTTCCGCACGGAAATTTGAACAGAGGTGACGTCAGAATTGCTACAGTAAAGAACTTTTGATGGAAAAATTGATCTAACCCTAAATTAAATTTTTATCTCCATATTTTTCATGTAGAGCTTTCTCAGGGTTTGAAATATTTGCACTTATTTCAATACCCCCCTGTAGAATATCAAGTTCACTATTTGTCATGAACCCACCACCCAAAAATCTCTTTCAAAAACGCTCTTACACAGTTCACAAAAATACCTAGGATGTCATTCATGACATCGAATTGTCACTTGGCGTTCGAAAGCAGTAAGAGTATATGACAGGAACTAAAAGCTCATGCTCTATGAAATACAATTCAATCTCGCAAATGGATGAACCATCTTTATGCCATTAGTGGTCTAGATTATATATTTATATGTTGGTAGTATGTCATAATGCTTCAACTCAACTGACCAATTGAAGAATTTGAGCCATGAATATAATTTGAAAAATATAGAGAATTGCCTGAACTTTCGGACTGGGCGATTACGAATCTATTAAAAAAAATCAACGTTATATGAATAGACATTTGAATAGCTATCTTATATGGAGCAATTTATATTTTTATGATTTTTCGAATTCCTCATAAAACGTTATACAGATTACAGATTGGGTAGTAGCTATCCATTAGCGCATTATTTTAGTATGTGAACGAATGCATGCAAAATTGCTCATCAAAACAAGCAAATGCAGTTTCCTAATAGCGAGACCGAATAATCAAAACGGGTAACAATAATCAATAATATGCAAGCCTTTGTGATGCCCCGAAATAATTAGTAGCGCTAAATTAAATCATAATTATGTTATATGATTTAGCAGTATAGTCAACAAGCTTAGGAAATTCCAAAACTATAAGTCTATTTATAGTTTTTAGTGATAAGATAACCACTTCAAATGGTTCCACACATTTCGCAGATTTATTATGAACATGAAAAAATGATAGGTAGGTACATATTGAGAAATACCTACATTGAGAATTCACTTTCTCTATCTGATAAAAATAGCAATCCTTTCTCGGTATATTCAACATAAAACAACTAATTTTCTGGCTGTATGCTACGACGAACATTGAATTATATCTATTGAACACACACAATAAGAATTGGAAATAAAATCTTCTGATGAGGAAGTTGGGAATAATATATATGTTGGTTTATAACATCATTCGGAATAATCAACAGAAAACAACTACTTTCCTAGTCATTTGCCTCGTCGAATAATGAATTACACTAACTTGTTGAATAGCCAATATGAAGATATGAAAATAGAAATCTTCTGAAATTGAGAATTTACATTTTCTTTCAAATCGATTATGCAGGGTGCCCCATAAGTAATGGATCAAGAAGACGTGGGGTGGAAGGGGGGTCATTTCTGATCAAACTAACCGTACATGCTGTTATCCAATAGTTTATGGTTCAAAAGTTATGAGTGTTTTTCATTTCGATAAAAAAATTTATTGCAATAAAACTATGTTATATTTGTGATTTTTTATTTTACGAATTTCATCCGCATGGATACACCTTTCCCAAAAAAAAAAATTATGACCTGTGTTACTTTGTATCAATTACATATGAAAAATTTTGTTCGTCTCAAGCTTTGTCATTCAATGGAATATTTCAGTTGATTTTTAAATGCTGCTGGCAGATTTAAAAACTACCCCACAATTATAAGAAAAATTTGAAACAGATTTCGAAATGGTATAACTTATGGGGTTATTCAAAACAGCCTTTTTGTCATTAATTTCCTTCAAATGGGTCGCGTTTTTTCATAAAAATTGAATAACTCGACCTATCAATAATTTGATAACCACATATACCATCAGTTTGATTGCAAATGACCCTCCCCCCCTACCACGCTACTTCTTTTGATCTATGACTTATGAGACACCCTGTACAATATTATGTTGAATGATATAAAAATAGAAATTACCAATATTCTCAGTACTGAAATGGAAATTGAAATGTATAGGAGAGATATACTTGTACAAACTCAAATCTTGATGAGCTTCGAATTTCCAAAACTCATTCGTAACATTGATGTAGGATACACATCTCTCACAATCAGGTTATATGACTATTCAAATGAACTCATTTCGGGTATCAAACCATCCTCATATTGGGTATTCAATAAATATAATCCAATGATGAACAAGGCAAACAGCCAGGAAAGTAGTTTCCTATTGAATATTCCGAATGATATTATAAAACTACATATATATTTTTCTCAACTTCAGAAGATTTTATTTCAAATTCTTATTGTGTACCTATCCATTTTTTTCATGTTCATGATATATCTCAAAATAGTCCTTATCAATACTTTCATTCCCAATCAAAGGGTTCAAACTTGATAGATGGAAATATGTTTTCACAGACCTCTAATCACAGAATCGTTATTGGGTTTTCGCAATTCAGAAAATCGTGGAAATCAAAACTCTTGTGATTATAAATACGGCAGACAAGAAAACCTATCTGATACTATATTTCAGCTGCTCTAACGATTCCATCACAATAGCTATAGTCATGCATGATATTATCTCAGCATACTTTTTCACTTGGGAAATAATGTGGTAGGATTTGATGAACATTTCATATTTTTTCAGAAAAAACCTGTTTTTGCTGGTAGCTTTGAGTCAACTATCAACAAGTTAGATAAGTATGCACTGAAAAAATGAATCTGAATGAACAAATGATACTGATATATAATGTTCACAAATTTAAGAACACTTTGTACATCACGAAGACAGCTCTAGGAAGCTGAAAGTTGTTTTGCATCCACTTCAATTTGCCCTGATTCGGGTAAGAGCATGAACGGTTTATGACAAAGCAACCTGTATAGGGTGAGTCCGTTTTTGTAGCAGGACTTCAACAGCTTAGAGAAAAAACTATTTCATGATCAACTTCCAGTGTGTTCGTACATCAAAAATGCATTGGAACTTTTTATTGATCAAAAACCAATAAACACAATTCTCTCTAAAAAAGTTTTTCAATATCTAACGGTTAGGGAGATATCACATATTTCATCTTGAGGAAATTGATTTTATTAGATTTCAAGCTTCTTTTTATCTCCATATTATGCCTCTTTGTCATATTCACCCGCTAATTGTTCTGAAATTGCAAAGATGGATTTTTTTTCATTCTGCGACTCATGTCCAGAACAGCCGCACATTCAATGCATTGTTTCATTGAGGAGCATTAATATTTTTCAACTATTTATATTGGAATAGAAATATCCAGAATAACTTCATTTCATTGTAACATGCCAATAGTTTATTATTAGAGTGTTTCACATTTTTATTCGACAGTTTTTGGTGTATATCACATTGTATTTTGTTTTCACAATGAATAAAGAAGCACAGCGGTGATATTTGTGTTTCATCCAATTGTAACATGATCTCTTTCTGAAAAGTCTTCAACAAAGCAGAAGATGAAGAGCACTGAGCCAACTTAGAATTTCAGGTAACTAACTAGATGAAGACATACGTTGAATTGAAAAATCCATATGCCAATTTTACGTCCCTTATACACAAATTTCTGACATCGGAGAGCTTTGGTGGTGAAAGTTCACAAAAAAAGAGACTTTAGGAGAAAACTTGCCCCCTACTAGATCTTCTCTGATGCCATATGTTGACAGAGTTCATTATCAAATCATGGAATAGCGTCGTACTGGTCCACCTTACCCGGATTTGCCATCACCATCAGATTTTGGATGGCAATTGCAAGGTGAGAGCAATCGTTATGACCCTGTGAAAATTTTCGGTCAAGCCATAAAAACAAATTGTTCAGTAAAAAAAAAACTAGTTAGCGGAGGACAAGCCAGTACGCTCACTGTGCTACTGTACTCTCGTATATCAATGTAGTACATAGAGCATTCAGGCTGAACACTATCGTATGTATAACATGAATCATGCTAAGGTACTCTAGCATGCAAATACTCAAACATTGGGTTAATAGTTACCATTATAAACTTAATCCAATATTAGTCCAATATAATGATAAAAAGTTATTAGCAAATGATTCATAGATATATAGGGCGTACTGAGGCATTACCCCTGCTGTAAATCAAAAAAATATGTTAGTTTCACATCAAAGTTATCGATTATTAGTAGCGAAGAAAGAAGTGGAAAGACTATAGATTCGAGAAACTCTCAATAAAATGCAAAGCTTTGTCCAATGATACGAACCTATTAGTCACAGGTGACGTAGCAGCAAAATTAAAATTTGCAGTAAAGTTTCTCAGCGATGCAACTTGGCTTCTTGTTAAACTGGAGACACTGCCACGAATCCCAATGTTACTACATGAACAATAAACAAAAAAATTTACCCCACTTATAGCTATGACGAATAAACATCAATCAAAAGCAACATGTGAACCAAAACAATAGTAATGAAGTGCACAGTCAACCCAATTTCGAGTTCATTTTGAATGATTTATACATGTAATAGATAACTTACTCATTTGTAATTGTAACATCTGAAATTCTGTAGTCACTTGTAATGCTATTGTGGCGTCTCATCTCTACATCTTTGTCTAATTTAATATCACAGTCCTGGAATAAAGTGAAATTAATGATTTAAGTTAGTATTGAAAATAGTTATTACAAGTTGAACGAATGATTATAAAAATTCCTTAGATGTATTAGAAGTACCTACTGCTAAGTGAAATGTTATGATAAAGTGAAAAAACTGATCGAATTTTAAGGGTTTGAGGTTCGCATCAACTCATCGTATAAAAAATTATTGAAAACGCCAAAATGAACGAGTGAATTCAAACTTCAACATGACCGCGGAAAAGGGGGACGTCAGTGCGCGAGCCATTTGGATTGGAAATACTCTCACCTTCTCGCGGGTACCAATAAATTGCACAGTGGACTTGACAATGATGACAATTTGGATAGAAAGCTATGATTAATCGGATGTTCATTAATCGATTTATTTCATCATACATAGTTATCTAATAGTAACTCAATAATACCTACCTACCTGAAAATTCGTGGTACTGAAAAATTGCTTTGCATAATTAGTTGGATGAGTGATATCTGTTGGTGGATTATTCAGAATTGTAAGTGAAATTTCATTTCGTATTGATTTCGGGTGCAGATATTCATGATATTCAGTTTCAAATCACTTCCAGTGAAGTACTTTCAAGTTTAGGTACCTACCTATACATACACAGTAGTGCACAAGAGACGGTCAGTGCTGTAACTTCTGAATCATTCGAGATCGGATTCTGAAAATTGGTGGGTATCAAGTATACCGAATTGCACATCAATTGATGAAACAATTTTTGTTTTATCACTTCCGGTTTCACTAGAAAAGACCACAGCTTTTGATTTTTAAATGTGGCGCCCTGTACTTCATTCCATAATCGGTTAGCACTTATCATTACGAATTCAATGATACCGGTTTTGATAGGGTTATTTCAAACGATTACTAAGATATTCGCGTTTTTAGTTTCCATATCGCCGGTGGAATGGCAAAACCAAGTAACTGCAAAAACCAAAATTTTCAAGACACTAAAAACTTTATAGTTTTGGGTTAACTGATCAGATTCAATAAAAAATAGTTACAAACCAGTTGATTATTATTATCCTTACGTTTGTATATTGATTATTCAAAAAATATATTGTTTCTGTTTGTCAGCGTTTGACATTTGGTTTTGACATCTGCTTCTGCGCGAAAACAACAACAATTATTCAGATAATGTGATTCGCAAAAATAGGTAACCTCAATTTTCTAGACTTTGTGTTAAAATACCAATTGAAGTTGAGAAGTTAACAACTGCTTTACATATTTGTTCTATGAAAATTCACTAACCGATTAGCAGATATTAATCTCTGTGAAAAGTAATTGAACACAACCACAGGCGTGAATCACATGGCTAACTGTTAGATACTTGTTTTTGACGACCCCTTTCATTTTGTATTTCAAATAAGAGGTTTTGTATTTATTGATTTAAAAATATTTAGAATTTTTTGCCAGTTGTGGTTTTGCATACGCGTCCCCACAATACAATCGAGCGATTGCCGCCAGAATCCCATTTTCTAATTTTCGTCAGTTACTTGATTTTGCCATTTTACCGACGATATGCTTAATGAGTGTGACAGAGAAAGAAGTTTCAATATTGCGAAGTCACACCCATTGATCATAATATGGAAACTTCGAACGCAATTCGAAAACGATACCGGGTTTAATAGGGTTATTTCAAATGATCATAAAGATATTTAAAAAGTGTTTAAAAAGTTTTTTTTAAACACTTTTTAAATATCTTTATGATCATTTGAAATAACCCTATTAAACCCGGTATCGTTGAATTTGTCATGATAATCCCTAGCCGATTATTAAATCAAATACAGGGTGTCCCGTTTGAAAATCAGAGTTGGATTTGGATTAATTACAACCCACCAATTTTCGAAATCCGATCTCGAATGAATCAGAAGACCGCTTTTTCTGCCCTTCTCTGTATGCCTACCTACCATAGGGAAAAGAACATATTTTGGAACAATCAATATTCAATTGCTTTTTTTGTCTCTCTAGAAGCGCACAAAAGGAAATTCCTATAAGGTTCCAAGAACATCGTTCGTACCTAGGGATGATAGGGAGAGGAGTGGGATTTTTTTGAACTTTTGGAGGTTATAAGTTCATGGAAATACTTCCATTGGCTAAGAATTCCAAAGCTTTACCGTTCTATAGACGAACAAGTTTTGGTAAAGTGTTGTACGAAATATTTCAAGGTTGACAACGGAAGATTGTGCTGACTGGGCCTGTCGAGTTTGTCTGATTGATTGCTAGTGATGGAATGATAGGAGAGATTTCTGATCAACATTGCCCGTGGAAGTATAAGAGTGAAAGGTTGCCGACTTTTCTACGGTGTTCTAATGAAGTCAAAGTATTGGGGAGTGTGGCGTCACCCACCAGGCGGATTCTTCTCTGGATGGAATCTATGAAAATCAGCGTATGTTTGGGTGCTCAACCCCATATATAGAAACAGTATTCTAAAACTGGCCGTATCTGTGTTTTAAAGTTTATGAGAAGCTGTTGAGGTGTAAAGTAGATTTTCGCAAGGAATAAAAATCTGAGTTTTTATGAAGCATCTTTCGTGATGGATCGGACATGATTTTCCCATGAAAGATTATTGCTGATGGAAATACCGAGCATCGATATAGTGGTCTTGGTGGGAATGGTGGTACCAGACATTGTTATATCAGGCATAGTGAGTTCCGTCTCTCTAGAGAATATATTGGGTGTTCTATTTTGATCCATACCCGTTTTTTGCTCCGAGTATATTTTCTCAGATAGTGAAAAGTTTTATTTTGATTCAAGAAGTAAAAAAATCTTCTGTGAGGCTCCATTTTATTTTATCTATTGTCAAAAATGAGATAGATACAGGAGGGTGGTACTTTATGAAATGTGGCCCGGTACATGAAAAACCATGGAATTATTATTAAAACTATAATTTTCTTCAGTAAAGTTGATATAATATAAATAATAAAAATGTTATAGGTACTTGTTCTGAGTCAAACAGTAGATCATTATTTGAACATCAAATGTAAATGAGTTCACAGTATTTTAATCAATCGTGAATTTTGTTATTGAAAAAATCCAATTCGAACTGCTCTCACGATGCCAAACACTGAGAAAAACATGCCGATCAATCGATTACATGCGCCGTTCATAAAATAATGATAAATGACGATTTATTTTGAGATACAGCAAGTTATGCCAGGAACAATGAAACTGAATTATTAGTTCACCAAATTCAGGAAACTATTTTATTTTGTGATCGTAATAGATGGGAGAAAAAGGTGGTTGGAAATGAAAAATGGAAGATATTTCGTCCAGGAATTAATAATTCCATTTTGTTATCGATTGAAATCCAAAAATTACTCGATGAATAATAAGTCTATACACTTTTAATGGGATTTTCCGGATTCATCTTGGTTAACCACATCTATAATAACGTCATTCTCATTCATTGGCTTCAACTATATAAAATAAATCACGTGCTACTTACTCTTTTTCCATATTTCATTTCGACGTCAGCTTTCATAGTAGCAAAACATTCCTCTAACCTTTTCTGTAGAGGTTGTAAGTTTTCAGGTACTTTTTGTTTGTGGATCTGGACACATAGTTCTAGAAGCGGTATTTGATCTGCTATCAAGTTTTTTAATTTTTCAATCAAAACATCATCATCGGCATGGTGAGTTGCATAGGTAGGAGTGAAGAATACCTCTTCATAATTTTTTATTCCACCCATTACAGCAGCATCGAGAACACCTATGATATATGTAGATTAGAAATTAAATACAAACATTAGATGATTTCATCATTTGTAGTTCGACGCAAATAATGTAGTAGCTGAACTCCAAAACTACTGGTAATTTATGCCTTCTGGAAATGTATAAATATCTAACTGGTGATCAATTTTCTGAGTAACTGCAAACTATTTTTTTTTAATTGACTTGGCTGTTAGGTACTTGATGGACATTTATAGATATTGCAGAACATTTCATCATCCACGATCTGGATGTGTATGAGCGTTACCACCGATACAACAAGGCCTGCATGCTCCGTGGGTGACGTCACTTAGTGAGGCCTAACCAGCGGCTCGAAACGACAAGCGCTTATAGCGCTATAAGGCGACCGCGTATTTCGATTTTAGTTTTAGATCATCATTGAGCCGATTTCGCTGTTTTTTGAAGAGCTTCCGGTTGAAAAAGGATGCCAGTCGTCAATTGAGCCCTTCTTCGCACCCTATCGATTTTATTATGGAAAAACGAAGTTTTAAAGCAAAAACCAGGATAAAACACAAATATCCACCTACAGCAACCCATTCGAATTAAATATATTGGCAAAAATTGTGGTGAAGGTAAACTTCACACCTACTTATACAGGGCCCGCAGAACATAAACTTATCGTGAGATTGATCGAAAGAAAACTGTGGAAAATGTATTTTACTTTTATTGACATGCCGTTTGTTACAATTACCTATATTTATCTTGGAGAATTCCTATTACCTGAAAAAATAACCAGTGAGTGTTTTCAATTTTCTGTTGTTGGATTTTTCACACAAGTGGATCGTTACACTTGAAACCGTAATTTTTAAGGGTAAAACTGCATTTATCATGCGATGGTTTTTTTTTGGAAATTTTTTTTCGGTACTCACGTATTTTTGTCTGATAAACCGAATTTTATAATGAAAATGTGAACAAACCACTATTTATTGAGATATTTCAAGAAAAAGTTCTAAATTTCGCCTTCTTTCTCCCCTTGTGTTGGGGGCATTTGAAGCTACTTGCTCTTATTTTGTCATTGGACACTTCTTATACTCATGATGTACAGGGTGATTGCCTATGGATTTCTCGACTTCAACAGCTAATATCTCGAAAACGAAAGAAGATATTTGAAATTTGGAAAGAGGTACTTAAATAAGATGTCATTTCCTTCTAGAAAATGTGTTCTCTGCTTGATTTTATCATTTCATATACAGGGTTTGTGAAAAAAAATTATTTTTTCATATGGAATCCCCTGTATATTATCGCATATTTCGAAAGAGCTATCTTTCCTGATTTTGAAAATATATACTTTTCATATATTCTACCAAGGGCTTGACGAAATATCAGCAAAATTAAATATTAATATTTGGCCCAAGTTAGCTATGGTTGGAATAGAATGAGATGATGAATAAGTGAATTGACATTTGGTCAACATTCCAGTGACATAAGTGCGCAAAATTTCGACAATTTTTTCACGATGCCATATCCACTGGAAAAAAGAAGAGATATTTTGGAGTGCTATTTTTCAGTTAATAAAAATCTTGCTAAAACACTTCGTAAGTATATGAAGAGTTATCCAGGCAGGAGATTTCCAAGTAAGAATTATGTAAAGTATTTGGCTGCTAAATTTGACAGAACTTTCAGTTTGTCGAATATCAAGAGAATAGTGAGAAGGCAAGACAACGAAGACGAGGAACTTCTTGTAATCCAGTATTTTGTTGAGGATCCTTCACGGTCAATAAGAAATGCAGTGAGAGAGTTTGGTTTCAGCTATTATTTTGTTCAACATTCCTTAAAGAAATATAAATATAGGGATTTCAGAATTAGACCATGCCACAAACTCAATTATGATGATAATGAGAAGCGGATTGAATTTTGTCTTGTCATATCTGAAAGATTGAATATGAGACAAAGCTATTTTGACGATATCATTTGAACAGACGAGGCTTGTTTCACTACCAGTGGTATGTTCAATAGACGGAACTCGCATCATTGGGCATCCGAAAACCCGCATGCTTTTCAAGCAATACAGAAACAAGATCGGTCGTCTATTCTTGTTTGGTGTGGCATTCATAATGGAAAAATATTGGGACCAATCTTCATAGATGAGAATTTGGATCAGAGAAGATACCTGAGCCTACTGCAAAATGAAATTCAAGATTTCATATACGAAATGCCACTACCTTTCGTCTATGAAATCTTGAAAAATAGCTTTGTCTCATATTTATTCTTTCAGATATGACAAGACAAAATTCAATCCGCTTCTCATTATCATCATAAATGAGTTTGTGGCATGGTCTAATTCTGAAATCCCTATATTTATATTTCTTCAAGGTATGTTGAACAAAATAATAGCTAATAGCTTGAAACCAAACTCTCTGCACTGCATTTCTAATTGAATGTGAAGGATCCTCAACAAAATACTGGATTACAAGAAGTTCCTCGTCTTCGTTGTCTTGCCTTCTCACTATTCTCTTGATATTCGACAAACTGAAAGTTCTGTCAAATTTAGCAGCCAAATACTTTACATAATTCTCACTTGGTAATTTCCTGCCTGAATTACTCCTCACATACTTACGAAGTGTTTCAGCAAGATTTTTATTAACTGAAAAATAGCACTCCAAAATATCTCTTCTTTGTTCCAGTGAATATGGCATCGTGAAAAAATTGTCGAAATTTCGCGCACTTATGTCACTTATTCATCATCTCCACGATGTTTCAACCATAGCTAACTTGGACCAAATATTAATATTTAATTTTGCTGATATTTCGTCAAGCCCTCGATAGAATATATGAAAAGTATATATTTTCAAAATCAGGAAAAATAGCTCTTTCCAAATATGCGATAATATACAGGGGGTTAGTTCTGTCAAATTTAGCAGCCAAATACTTTACATAATTCTCACTTGGTAATTTCCTGCCTGAATTACTCCTCACATACTTACGAAGTGTTTCAGCAAGATTTTTATTAACTGAAAAATAGCACTCCAAAATATCTCTTCTTTGTTCCAGTGAATATGGCATCGTGAAAAAATTGTCGAAATTTCGCGCACTTATGTCACTTATTCATCATCTCCACGATGTTTCAACCATAGCTAACTTGGACCAAATATTAATATTTAATTTTGCTGATATTTCGTCAAGCCCTCGATAGAATATATGAAAAGTATATATTTTCAAAATCAGGAAAAATAGCTCTTTCCAAATATGCGATAATATACAGGGGGTTCCATTTGAAAAAAAATGTTTTTTCACAAACTCTGTATATGAAATGATAAAATCAAGCAGAGAACACATGTTCTAGAAGGAAATGACATCTCATTCAAGTACCTTTCTCCTAATTTCAAATATCTTTTTTCGTTTTCGAGATATCAGCTGTTGAAGTCGAGAAATCCATAGTCAATCACCCACTTCGATGGCACATTTTCATATAGAAAATTCAACAGGAAATATGATTTTTATGGCGAGTTTTTCATATTTTGTGAACAAGCATTCCAGATGACGACCATTTAATCAATTGTCAATCAAAATACGAGATGTCAAATGTCAATAGATTGCTTTCGAATGACATTATACACGCCATTATTTTGAATGATATTCTTCCTTCTTTTCACTAAATATGGATTAATCTCAAGAAAATCATATTTATAGTTGAATTATATATAAATTGTCCAATATGATGAAAAAAGAAGGGAAATTTGTTCTAAATGCCATCCAGAAGACAGGTGAAAAAGAAGGTGAAATTTGGAACTTTTTAGTCAAATATCTTCATGATGAATATCATGTTAAATGCAGTTTTACCTTTTTAAGTAGAGTGTTTGTAGTTCATGTTAATATGATGGTTGTAATTTGATCATTGGAATGAATTCTGCATTCATTGCCACGAGGCAAATGACCGTTTTCAGAAAGAAATTTGAGAATGAGAATTAAACATGCCCGTTTATTATGAACATTCAAGAAAATTTCCTCGAATTCAGAGATGATTTTGTTGACTATAATATACGAATACAAAACTAACTGCACAATCAAAACTTTCCTATTTTTTCTCTACTTATACTTTTTATGAGAGAGTAATTGTCTTCTATTATTATTTCATCATTATAAATTAAGCTCTGTTTACTACTGAACTTAGATGGAGTGAAATCCTCGCGGTAAATTGCATATAGCCACATTTTCGATAGCTCCTCGTCCCACTGGAAACTAAAAGCATGAACTTTTGAACCACCCACATAATTCCCCCGACAAAAGGGAACACAACACTTGAAAGGCATTGTTATTTCGCCGATCACAACACAAAATATTTCACAAAACAGTAATTTTTCCGCCAATTATTCTGATGAATAAACAAAAAAAGAATTCGGGACTGTTTCAAAAACATACGTGAATCACCGATGAATTAACACGAACTGACTCGTTAGTCGACAAGCGATAAAATAAAACACTGGCCTCTCTTGGCGACGTCACGAGCTGTTTACGTCAGAGTCTGCTGGCCTTGTTGTATCGGTGGTAACGGTATGAGTCAAGGATTGTTAATATATGAACAAGAGTTGACGTCATGCCGTTCACAAAAACCTCATTGATTGGAGCACGTAAACAATTGATGACCTTCGAAATCGATTCAGTATTTTCCGGCGGATAGAATATCAAATCCCATGTTATGAGTAAGAATATCTTTTATCGAAAATAAAATTGATATTTGATGAGTAAGCATATTCTACTCATGATATTAATTGACATTTAGAATCTGGTGGAAGTCTTGGAACAATGATTATTTTCATATCTTTCCAAAAGACCTTCTTACTAGTGGAGTCAACAATAATGAATAAACTGATGAATTCCGTATTTGAAAGATCCAAATATTTTCCATTTATTCAACTCCTGGGGTCTATTTTCTATGATTACTCTGATAACACCAGAGAATAATGAGTTGTCATATTAAATTAAAAAAGTTAATTGTCATATTGAATTAAAACAATTAGGGATTATGGAATTAAACAAGGA